ACTACATCATTTCAAATACAAGACATACACCAAAACATTGAAATTAAAGCTTCTGATGTTTGGGAACATGCATCTTTGTATGAAATTGAAAAAATAAACACAAGTATAAAAAGGCTTATCCCAAAACACGATCCACCAAGCATAAAACCGTCATTTAAAATAAATAAAAATTGTGTATATTGGCTTGTATGCGACAAGTGTGGAAAAATGCATGAATATGATTTGTCAAGTGGTTCGGTTTCAAACATGAAACGACATATTGTTTCAACACACAAAGAAATGAATTATGTTTGCAAATTTGTGACATACGAACCAAACAAACGCAAACCAAGTAATAACGATGTTATTATTGCAGAATATTTCATTAACTCAAACTTGCCATACGAACACACAACAAGTCGTTCTTTTTTGGAATTGATGTCCCATACAAACTTAAATGAACCAAAACTTACACAAGACAAATTAGCACGGACAGTTATTCCAAAATTATTTGATGCTGCCAAACTTAATATCAAAACAGGCGTAATGAAGCACTATTCTTTTGTACAACAAGTAATGGTTGGAGCACATATATGTGTGAAGAAGAGTTTATGTCTCTAACTTTGCATTATGTTGACAAATATTACACCTTAAATAACGTCTTGTTAGAAATAGCACAAATTGAAGGAGACAAAACATCTGCAAACATCCAACACAATTTGGAAGTGTTCTTCGAAACTTGGAATTTAAAAGATAATTTTGTTGTTATTACTGATAACGCTGCCAATCAAATTAAAGCAGTCAAAGATTCAGGAAAGACATCTATTGGTTGTTCTTATCATACATTTAGTCTAATAGCAGAGAGATCCACGAGAGAAGTAAAAAGATACAACTTACTTCTAGTAAAGCTCCATAGAGTAGTTAATCTTTTTAGCAAAAGTATACAAATAAAAAATTGGCTTGAAGAAGCACAAACAATTGATGGTAAATCACCACTTCGAATTGTGAAACCAGTTGAAACAAGATGGTTTGGTGATTATTTAATGGTTAACAGAATATTAATAATTGTAAAATATTTGAACGTTGCGATAAAGAAAAGACAAACCAAAATAACGAACCCAAACAAACGAGAAATATTTATGTCCACTTATTATTTTACAGACGAAGACATAGAAGACATAAAGAATTATATTGATGTTCTTAAATATCTAAATTTATTAATAAATCGATTTTCTTCAGACACATATCCAACACTATCTATTATACATCATTCAATATTGAAACTGTTATCTTTGTTATCTATAAAGTATGACTCTATTCCTGGTAACGTCGACGATACAACAACAACTTTTCAACATCAAGTATCCATTGGAAACGACAAAATAAACAACTTTGAACAACTTGAAGATTTGGATAATATATTTGATTTGGAAACAGAACAAATTATTGTGGAAAGTCCTTGTGTTGCAAAGAAAAAAATAATTAATGTATTAGTTCAAGAAATCATTGATCGTTATTTTCATGGAGAATTGTCTATCAGAAAAGATGTAAATTATATTCTTTCATCATTGCTTAATCCTCATTATAAAAATAGAAAAATTGGTGAACACGTTATTGAGTGTACTGGATTTGAAATTGAATTTGTAGAAATAGAATACATGAATCTATTTATCGATGAAGTCATTCTAGTCAATTCAGAAGAAGTCGAAAATGGTAAGAATAATGTTGAAAAGAAAGATGTTGATATTGATTTCACTTCTGAAATAGAGGGGATACCCGATCCAACTGATATCCGACAACTTGTTATAAAAGAAGTTGAAAAATATTTGAATGCGGGATTTGTTGATAAAAAATCATTTTTCAATCCACTGGAATGGTGGAAAGAACACAGTTGTGATTATCCTCTTATTAGCTGACTTGTACCAAAATATTTATGTTTGCTTGCATCTTCTTCATTTTCAGAGGGATTGTTTTCAGAATGTTCTTTAGTACATACTCCACGTCGTTCAACATTAACACCAATTCATTTGGAACAACTCGTTTTTCTCCATGAGTATGGAAAAAACAATATGATATCATCATTGCTATGATAAGTAATTAATTTACAATTGTTTTGAAATTCGAGTTTAAACTTTTATTATTAACAAAATAAAATTTTGGTGTCATTTAATAGTATTTATGTGTTATTTTTGTAATAAACCTGTATTTTAATTCAATGTTTATTAGTTTATCAGTTGATCAAATCACGAATCGAACATATTTTAAATATTTATAAACTATAATTATTCGATGAATAAACTAATAAGATTAATCAATAAGATTTTATTAAAATACTATTTGTATTAATCAAATCATACAAACTTTTTAGACGCGTTTTATCATCTCTGCACACATTTAAAACAATAAATTATCACTTGTGTTTTTGTTTGTTAAACTATTTAAACAAATGAAATTATTTTCAAAAATAATTTGGATTCTTAATAAGATAAATCAAAGTATGTTTGTTTATAACTCAGGCATTAATGAACCACTATATTTTTCATT